AAATAGAAACAAACAAGGTGATTCCAATTTAATCTAGGTTGAAAGATAATTATAAACGAAGTAACTTCATCTATAATCCCAACGTCCAGTAACCACTAAAAACCAAAACATGTCACCTGATAATATCTTAGAAGTAGACGAAAGGTCCAATATATAAGTGTATTATGATCACAAATTATCTATCTCATTCCCTGTCATATCTTCTATTTTAGATCTATTATACACTGTAATATTACCAAAATCAATGATTTAAAAAGCGTCTGCCTTTGGTCCAGTCCATTATCAGATTGGACCGTGTTATTGGGCTTATGGAGGCCCACCACGGGTTCCGTTTTGAAAATTTGAACCGTTCAATGTGTAGAACTTTTCGAGGACTATATGTATGTAAAAACTCACGTTGATCGGATATCGATAACTATGTGATCAAATCAGTTTTTTTTCAACCGTTAATTTATTCACCATCTATTTTTTTTATACAAAACTGATTTGATCACATAGTTATCGATATCCAATCAATGTGATTTTTTATAAACATATAGTACTCGAAGAGTTCTACACATTGACGGTTCAAATTTTCAAAACGGAATCCATAATAGATCCCCACAAGCCTAACAACACGGTCCAATCTAATGATAGACTGGATCAAAACTAGACCCTTTAAAAAAATGATATAAATGATTCCACGTTGCATAGTGTTTGACAAGGTTGTTTAATTATAGAAGAAAGTTCTCACGATCTAATATGCACTCTCAAACTTCAATCATGAACTCTCTCAATTTCAATTTCAATTTCTGAGGAAAAAGAAATAAAAAGAAAAAATATTACACGAAAATAAAATTAAAAGAGATTTTTTTTTTTTTTTTTTTTTTAACCTGGGTTAGAAAAAATGAGAGATAGATGTCAGTCAACAAACATCTACTTTTTGTTAGAGTGTTCCATCTCAAAGATTCGTCTTCAAAAATAAAAATAAAAATAAAAGGCCTGATTTACATTATAATGTTGTGTTTGGTTGGAAGTTTTGGAAAGGAATTTGGAAAGAAAAATAGAAAAGTTAGGTGAAATGTGAATAAAACATAATTATATTTTACCTAGTTCACACACCTTTTCTCTTTCTTTTCCCTTTTCAAATCCCTCCCAAATTCCCTAACCAAACACAGCATAAGAGTCTAACACGGGTACTGTTTCGATAATTCAAACCGTTCAATGTGTAGAGTTTGTTGAGTACTTTATCCTAGTAAAAAAATTTCATTGATCGGATATCGATAACTATTTGATCGGATCAAATTTCTGTCAATGGTAAATACAATTTTCAAAATGAATTGTTGACAAAAATCTGATCCGCTCAAGTAGTTATCGATATCCGATCAACGTGATTTTTTGCAAAGATAACGTATTCAATGAACTCTACACATTGAACGGTTCAGATTATCGAAACAAAACCCGTTGTAAGCCACACAAGCCCAACAATACTATCCGATGTGAACTAGAGGCAAGCCAGCCCAAATAAAATAGGTAAATTACACTCACATCCCTTGAGGTTTCTGACAATTAAACTAGCCTTTTCTTCTTTTTCTGAAATTACACTGACCTTCTTTGAGGTTTATTTTTGATTTGCAATTTTTCTTTTTTCGTTAGTTGACCGTTAATTTGACTACCAGTTCTGGCTTCTTTATTTATTTATTTTTTTTGTGGCGAAAATTAGTAATTAATTGTTAAATTAGCATTTAAGGAATTTCAATTTGGTTTACATAACATTTGAAGTAATTATCTGTAAATTAAAAATAAAATAAATCAATTAATTATTTTTTAAGTAAATAAATTAGAATGAATTATTGAAGCCAAATGAGAAATTCAAGAACTTATATATATGTAATGTAATAAATTCAATATATATATATATATAATCAAACTATGTGAGTTTTTAGAAATAATATTTTTAACACTACTCAAATAAATACATGTGGTGTTTCAATTTAATTTTTATTAATTCAAATAGCCAAACTCCACAATTTTATCTTAAATTTTTTAAGACACTTGAAGTGTATAATGTCAAGTATCAATTAAAAACTATCAAAACATATATTTATGCAATTATTTTTTCAATTTGTTTCATCATTACTCTTGTCATAACAATAGGTTATTCTAAAATACACACTAATTTATGTGTACCATATTCAGATTATAACATTTAGTCTTGATTATCATAAATGTCGTAATTAAATTTTTTTAAGTCAAAAAAAGTCACAACTAAATACTAGAGTTCGTTTGATATGTTAGTTGACTTTTTAACATTTTGACTATTTTAACGTTGAACTAAAAAGTAGGGGTGCAACTCGAGCGGGCTTAACCCGAGCAACCCATGCCTAGCCCGAGTTTTTTTAGGGCTTGGACAACAATATCTTGTAATCTGGACGGGCCTGGGTAGATTTTTTATGCCCGAATCGTAATTCGGGTCGAGCCTAGGGCAGAATATGTGGATAACTCGAGCAACCCGAACCCGAATTGCATTTAATATATTATATAAATTATATAATATATGTACAAATTAAATAGGTGGCTCTTAATATGTTTTTTTTTTTTTTAGATTAAAACTAAAAACAAAACCCCACCTTATCTATTCTTTTCTTCCCTTTCTGTCTCAAACTCTCATTTCATTTCTTTATCAAAGTTGAAAAACGGCGGAGATACAAGGGCCATGAACACGAAGTACAGCCACCAACAACGATGCTACCTTTTCGACTCTCAACGATGCCATACAAAACTAGTAGATCCCTCTCTATGTTTGTATTTATGTTTCAATTTGTCTATTTTTGGTCACTCGTCGTTCGATTACCACTCAAAACCGGTGGATCTATGAGTTTAAAATTTTTTCTTAATAGATTTGCAAAATATGTTTATGTTAGTGAAATTTTGTGTACATATTTGTTTGGGTTATCTTCGCCCAGCAATCTTGGTCTTGCAATCTAAGACGCTTGAGCTGAGCCACACCCATTCCTCTCTGAAGTTGTTTCTTTCTTCTTCTTTGGTACTGACTAGTTGGATTTCAACTTTCTTCTTCTACTCTGTTTCATGTTCTTGGGTCTAGACAAAGAGAGAAAAATGGGTTTGATTATGGAAAAAAAGAGACAGAGACAGAAAGTGTTTATGCTGAGAACCAACAAGAAATATCAGCCATGGATTATGCATGTGCTCTGCTTTTGTGTTTGATTCCAAGTTGATATATATATATATATATATATTATTCAGTAAATTTTTGTTTTTGTGTTTCTTTGGTTATGTTATGCATATGATTGGATAAAGAAGATGAATAATAGCTTCTGATTTATTTGGTGGCCATATTTATTTATTTGTTTGTAATACATTGATCTCAGATTTTCTTAAGAAAATGCAAAAAGAAAGAGGCATCTTATTATTTTTTGTAGGTGGGTTTGTTTGAGGCCATTTTCCTTTCAATAAAGTTATATATGCTTTTCAAATTTTGGATTTTTGTGGTAAGTATTGTTTGGTGCCTTGTGAAATTCGGGCTAATCCGAGTTCAAATTATGAAGCTTGATTCGGGCTTAGGTAGCCAAGTTCGGGTTGATGGTCGGGCTTGGGCATTACTAAACACAATTCGGACTGGGCCTAGGCAAACCTCTAACCCAACCGAACCAGCCCAAGTTGAACTCCCATTAAAAAATCTCATTTGAAATAGATTTTTTAACTTTTTTGAGAAAAAAATAATAATAATTATGAGTTGAATGTGATATTTTATTCTATTTGACTAAAATAGTTAATTTTGTTCTATATAACTATTTTAGCCCAAAATGACATCCCAAACGGAGCCTAAATAACGTAAAACCAAAATAATAATTGCATAATAGTTATCAACAAAAATATTTTTAATGTTAGTGGGTTTGTTTGAGGTCATTTTCCTTTCAATAAAGTTATATATGCTTTTCAAATTTTGGATTTTTGTGGTAAGTATTGTTTGTTGCCTTGTGAAATTCGGGCTAATCCGAGTTCAAATTATGAAGCTTGATTCGGGCTTAGGTAGCCAAGCTCGAGTTGATGGTCGGGCTTGGGCATTACTAAACACAATTCGGACTGGGCCTAGGCAAACCTCTAACCCAACCGAACCAGCCCAAGTTGAACTCCCATTAAAAAATCTCATTTGAAATAGATTTTTTAACTTTTTTGAGAAAAAAATAATAATAATTATGAGTTGAATGTGATATTTTATTCTATTTGACTAAAATAGTTAATTTTGTTCTATATAACTATTTTAGCCCAAAATGACATCCCAAACGGAGCCTAAATAACGTAAAACCAAAATAATAATTGCATAATAGTTATCAACAAAAATATTTTTAATGTTAAAATTGCTAAACTAACCATTCTATTAACACCGCTACTTCTCTTAGGCTCCGTTTGTTTGCAGAGATAGAATGGAAGAGATTCATAGTAAAGGAATTGTTAGTGAGGAATTATTAAATTATTTTTATATAAAATAATAAAACAAATAAAAAATATATAAAATTAAACATTAATATTTTAAAAAAAATTCTCAATATATAAAAAATATAAAAAATAAAAAAATTTCTAATCTCCTCACTATTTTTCTAATACCATCTCTATCTCTTCCTCACCAATCTCCCTTCCAAGGAGACTACTAATACCAAGGGATTAATAGTCCCCTCCTCATCTCTCAAAATAAACACCACATTAATAATACCAAGAGATTAGTAATCTCAATCCCCTCCCTATAACTCCAAACAAACGGAGCCTTAGTTACAAGAGAAGAGAGGTCCATGTAATTTCAAAAATAGAAGATGAGATCAATGTAATAGTCAAAAATAAATAAATAAATAACCCCAGATAAAATAAATCGCAAATGATTTGTTTACAATCATTTATCATTCAGTGGCTCAAATGCAGCAGTTGAAGGTAAAACCCAACTGAATGAAACTTCAGTAATATATATGACACAAACAAAACCATAATATGCATTAAGCTACGTATCTCAGAAGGAATGTGTCAATATATATATATATATATATTAGCATTTATATTCAAATCTAAACAATGTTTCCAAATACATATAACCCACCATCTTCTATTAGACATACAGCCATTTCAAAATCCTAAATGAAAAGTGAAGCGCCATTTAAAATAAAAATAAAAATAAAAAAATTAAATTTATAACCACGCAGTGTCTGACAGAAGCAACGAAGAAACAAGGAAAAAAGAGACTAGATAAACACCACCCTGCATCCAGGATCACCCCACAAGAACATTCCGCATTACCCTCATGCCTGTAACCAAGTAAAACGATAATGAATTAAATGAGAAAAGTTGAGTGAAAAAAACACATTAGGTTCCCATCCGTTAGTCTTTCTATTCATACGATTCGATACAAGTTTCAAAATGATTTGATTCGTGCTTTTGAATTGTAACTGAGTGAATCTTATGATTCAATTGCAATTCACTAAGATTCACAACAATTCAATTTTATTTATATAATGTATGAAACATCGTTTTCACAAAAATTAAAATAATAATAATTAATTATATTTATATCCGTATTTTAAGCTGAGTGAATCGTATGATACAGTTGCAACATTTTCACAAAATAAATACATGTTTGTGTAAGTATTTACATAATACACGTATACTATAAATGCTATAATTTTTTTATAGGTACATAATCACTATTTAACAAAACGATTCACAATTCAATTTGTGATCTCATAACAATGGTCAATAGTTTGTTTGACAAAGAGTAACCGAGGATATTTAAACACTTGCCTTGTTAGCTATGTTGTTGGAGAGCCACTCCAGCCCCTCATAGAGCCCCTCCCCAGAGGTTGCACAGGTGCTCTGGATGTACCTGGAAAGAGCCGAGGATTGAGTTTAGAACGCGATAATTCAGATTAAACCAGAGAGCAAAAGAAATCAAAAAGTTCACCAGTGACGCTGTCGGAGAGAGTTGAGGCCAAGCTTGTCAGTTATTTCGGCAGCGTTCATCGCATTAGGAAGATCTTGTTTGTTAGCAAATACAAGCAACACTGCATCTCGCAGCTCATCCTGGAGCAATAAGCCTAAATGTCAGTCCTTGGGGCATTACAATTCTGGAATATTTTTTCAAAATTTGTCTTTAAGAATAATTATGTAGCTAAACAAAAATGCTGCACAACCATCTAACAAAAAAATGTGTAAAAGTCTGCACAATGACCGACAAAAAGAAAATGACAGAAACCATAAAACAAATTGCCAACCAAAAAATGTAGCCTATCAGTAAAAGGCATGTGAAATAAAACATCCTACGTCAAATCCTATGTTGAGCTCAAAACAGTTAAAGTACTAGAGTGACTGCCGACTGAGAAGTTGCATTACATCTAAGTTAAAATGCCTATTGAGCAACCCATATTCACATGTATTTGGATTTTTTTCCTTTGTTTTTCATTTTTCTGTTAGGACTTTTTTTTAATTTCACATACGATGCGTGACCAGGAAAACAAAGCTCCGCAAAATAACCACCAAATTCTTGACAAGGTACACAAGAAGCAAGAGAGAGAGAGAGAGAGAGAGAGAGCAATAATACAAAGAAAAATGTTGGAAAAAATAGAACAAACTCCCAGGAGCATTCCCAAACTAAAAGGCTTGTTCAAAACTTCTGCCAGTTCAAAAGCTTTCACAGTAAATTAACCATATGGCAAGTTACCTCATTCAACATGCGATGCAATTCATCCCTTGCCTCAACAACTCGGTCTCTGTCATTGCTATCCACCACAAAAATGAGACCCTGTGTGTTCTGGAAATAGTGCCTCCACAATGGACGAATCTGCATAAAAAGCCCCATTATTTGCCATATTATATGAAGGTTAACAAACAATAACAGCATTTGATTTCACAAACAAATTACAAGGTCTCAGAAAAGGGAAAGAAGAAGAATACTCACACTACACAAACAGATCAAACTTCCAATATATAATCATAACTATATACACGGATCAAAAACAAACATAAAAATTTCATACCTTGTCCTGGCCACCAACATCCCACACAGTGAAGCTGATATTTTTGTACTCTACGGTTTCAACATTAAAACCTGCAGATAATCACCATTTTGTAATTAAGAGAACCACAGTATGGATCTAAGTAACATAACTTTCTATCAATGGCAATACTACAAAAGAAAATCAGCCCCACATGAATCACAACTTTCTATAGTTTTAACCTTATGTTTGCAACAACCAACAAAAGATTCCATAACTATAAATAAAATTTCCAATAGCACGTATAATAACTCTTAAGAACTTAATGAAGCATGATCTCCATCCCAAAGCTGCTTCAATGATCATAAACATTATGGTATTCCATCCAATTACCCAAAGGCTCAGAAATTTTCACATGCATCCTAAATGTGAACCATTATAACTATAAAAAAACAGAAGCAAATATCCATTATTTCATTAGTAAGACTTACCAATGGTGGGGATTGTGGTCACAATCTCTCCAAGCTTCAGCTTGTACAAAATGGTGGTCTTACCAGCGGCATCCAAACCAACCATAAGGATACGCATCTCTTTCTTGGCAAAAAGCCGGCTGAAAAGTTTGGTGAACGTCAACCCCATTTGTCTTTCTGATGGTGGATCCCTACATGAGAGCACACCAAATCACAAAAATCAGCCAAAAATTATTGAGCTCCAGTTATAAAAATCAAATTCATCAATTTGCTGTCAAAATCACAAGCAAAGCATTAACCAACAATAATCTTTGCCAAAATGTTGCAAGATCAAATGGATCTAAACTCTCTTGTTAAAATCATGTAAAAAACAAGAAATGATGCACAATTTGCCCATTTTAAGCTCCGTTATGCATTCAGTTTTTAATACAACCGTTGACTTGCAAATTACTATTGACATGAACTGTTGAATACAATAGATTGAAACAATTTCACCACACAATCTTCAGATTAGAACATACGAAAATAATACTCCTCCTGTCTCATTTTGTTTGTCCACTTTTCCATTTTGGTCCGTTCCAAAATGTTCTTCCACCTTCTATTTTTGGGTACTAAATTTTGTTAGATTTCCAAAACTAACCATTATAAATCATTATAAACACATTTTAAAATTCAAATATAAAGATAGCGGTAGCAAATTGTGTTACCAGAAAATGCTAATACCCTAACAAATTACTTATTGGTATACGCGTTCCAAAACATGATACACTTCCGTTCTAGAACGGTAAGTTTAGTAATCCGAAGCGATCCCAAAATATATTTTTTTTCCAATATATTTCCTTAACTATTTCCTTAGGAAGAAAAAAATCAAATATAATAAACTAAAATTTAAAGTGAGTTGAGTTTTAACAAGACAAAAAATCAAAAATAGAAAAAAAAAATTAAAAATACATTCTATTGGATGCCTAATAGTTAAAAAAAAATTCCTCTAGAAGTACCTTAAATTTTTAAGTATATTATATACAAGTCTAACCCTATCGTACCACATTTTAGAGTATGTAACGTATCCCGTTTCCATTCTCGTTCCATGTACCAAAATGATCCACGTTCCAAGTAACATAGGTAACAAATTCATTTCAAAATTTAAATTGAAGTGTAATTATTGCATGTCTCCCTAATAAGTTAGATTCTCTAAAATGGACAAATAAATTGGGACAGAGGGAGTATCTCACATCAAATCAAAAAGAAACCATAAAGCACAATCCGAAATCCCAAATCAACCATAAGCATCCTCAAATCAAATCAATTGTAGCTAAATTAAGCTTATCAAGGGATCGGGGCCATCCCAAATCCGATCTGATAAAACCAAAATCTGTCAAGATAAATCTGATCTGCTAATTCGAATAAATCTGAATTCGGCTGATTCAAGAAATGATGGATCGGTTTTAGATAAATTTGAGTAGATCCAAAAAATTGATTTATATAATTCTCTCCTAATTTTTTTTTTTTAATCTCCCTAGTTTGATAGGCTTCTCGATCTCTCTAGCAACTTCTTCTCCACCTTCCAGACTCAACCACTCACCAATTGTCAGCAATTTATCATTCTTGGGCCTCATTGGTTACAATAGAGCAAAAATTGTCAGCAACTTCTTCTCCTTCCTATCAGTGATTTTATCAACGATAAGGGTTTGATGAGGCATTCAATCGTTTCGTGAGTGATGGTGAATTCGAAACTGAAGCACAGTCCTTGTAACCAGTGCTGGCAGTAGAAATAATACCATTTTACTGTGCTCTTCATCATTGAATAAATCTATATACATATATACGTTAAGCTTATGAGTATGTACATGAACATACGTATGTGGGTTTTGGGATGTTTCTATAAATGGATTCGAGGCCTTCTAACAGTATTGGGTGGAAGTGTGTCGGGTTGTTCACGTTTCAAAAAAATTGAGACTGTATTACTTCAGTGTGGACATTGGTTGCATTTCCATTGTTTGCAAATCGGATAATGCTAATAAAACCTTTCCATTGATTGAACAGCATTAATGTTCTATATTCATGGAAGGTGTTCTTGTCATTATTCTCTACTTTTTATCTCCCTGCATATCATGCTCTAATGAGTCAGGTTTTGTTACTTAATTATTCAAATAAAATGACAATTTTGGAATGAAAAAATTTTAAAAAGAATGGATCGGTATCCAACTAGTTTCGGATTCGAATTTGTAATCGGACGATCCAGTGGAATTAAATTACAGTGATATTCTAATTGGGTCAGATTCAAGTTGCCATTTATCTGATACAAATCGGACCGGTTAACAGCCCTGCTGAATAGTGAATACCCACAAATTTGAAGAAAAAAAAATGACAGAATTTTGAATAATTAAAAAGTTTTTTAATGAACTTATGTCTGACAATCAACGCATAGTCCCTGAGTTGATCATTACGGACCTCATTACAAAAAATATATTAATTAAAGAGGGGATATACCACGCATTTCTAAGAAATCCATAGAAATCGTATATAGACCCATATCTAACCTCTCGCTATATTTATGGAGCTGGTTTATCAGTTACTTTGTATAGTTGGTTGAAGAGAAAGGGTGGATCTGAATCTGTTTGTTTTCTTAGACTTTTTAGATGATTTTATTGGTTAGGAGTTTTTAGTGTCTTCCCATTTTGGGATTTTCTTGTATTCTTTTGCATCATATTGATGCCTTCTCAATAAAGTTGGATTATTTATCCCCCAAAACAGATATTTATGGAGCTGGCAAAAGCTTTGCAGGGGATCTAGCAAGAGAAAGCACAAGAGAATAGAGTACGATGCGAGAAGATAGAAGCTATGACAAAGGATACTTCCCTTTGGTCGATGCAACCACAAAATTATCACACAGACAAAACACAAAACTAAAAGTCAGCACAAAAAAATCATCAAATCAAATGGATCTGAAACAAAAGCTAAGATATATATATGTCATCACCTCGGAATAGCTTGCAAAATGACCGTATTCATCACATTGCGAATTCAGAGTTCAATAAATTAGCTCATTTAGGATTTAACTAACACAGATCAAAACATTTTCAACACAATCTTCAGATCAAAACATTTCCAAAAAAAAAAAAAAAAAACTCAATCCCGAAAGCAAAAAAACATAAAACTAAATTCCAAATCGGGAATAAATAGCCTCAATTAAATCAAATGTCGCTCAAAAACCGCCAATTTGCAAGAGAAATAAATAAATTAATAGGAAAATGGAACAAATGTCGCTCAAAAACCGCCAATTTGCAAGAGAAATAAATAAATTAATAGGAAAATGGAACACAAAAATCATCGATTCGAACAAGAGATCCGTTAAAACAGATTTCTGAGAAAGAAATCTGAATAATAACGATATGATCGAAGAGAGATTGAAATTGAAGGTGTGAATGAATGTACCTAGCTGAAGCTTTTTGCAGAGGGATCTAGAGAGAGAGAAAAGCCTGAGACCAACGCGCAATATTTATGGGGTTACGAAGCTTTTAGCGAGAGGGGATATATATATATATATAAATAAAGCATGTCGGCTGAAAAGTCCAAACTGCCGTTTACTTTTGGATGGAATAACGGAAATGCCCCTCGCTTTCAAATTGATTCATATTTTTTAGTATTAAACATCCTCTTTCTCGGATGAATTACGCTGTCCAATGCAATCAGCTCTTGCCACGTTTCTCTAATGCAAATAGACTAGCTGTACGGCTGAATTCAAAGTAAAAAAACTGAAAAATATATAATTCCGTCTAGTTTAATTTTTGAAACGAGTTTTGAGATTTAAATTGTATTTTATAAAATAAGTTTAAAAAATTTAAAAATAAATATTTATTTAGTTATGAGTTTTGAAAAAAAATTTAAAAATGATTTGTAATTTTTTTAGTTGAATAGATGGCTATGAAAAAAAATTTGATTGATTGATGTGTTAAATTTGAGGAGTTCAGATCCTCTCCCACCTCTCTCTTCGGCTCTTCTTTCGGGCAACAGCTCAGATAGAAAGCGTCATCTACAAAGAAATAAATGGCTTAGATTCATTTCTTTAAACAAAACAAAATAAACACGCAATAACACAATCTCTCACTCACAGTACATACTCTCTCTCTGTCCCTTTTTCACTGACACAAACGCACACTCAAAGCGAATCCAGATCCTCTGCCGCGTTTTCCTGCGGCGGTTCTTGCGGTGCCCCAAAACGACGTTGTTTTGGGGCAAGTTTTCAAAAAAAAAGAAGAAACAAAAAAAGAAGACAAGAACCAGAACCAGAAAAGAAGAAATAAGAGAAGGCAGAGGAAGAACGAAGCAGTGGTAGAAGATAACATTCAAACAACCATTCAAAATTAACAACCAAATGATAAATATTAACACTGGGTGTTCTTCTGGGATACATATTAACAACCAAATCTAAGATATATATATACATATTAACACTTTGAACATCCCAAATGATAAATCAAAATTGATTAAAAATTATATCAATACAAACAAAAGTAAATCTTTCATAGAGATTTTGAAACTTTGTTTTTCTTCTTTGTTTTTCTTCATAAACCCATCTTTCTCCATTTTCAGATCTAGGTTAAAACCAAGGGGAAAATAGATGAACGGTAACAAGGATGACCGACGAACTTCCTCCGGTACACCCGCGGCAAAGAAAAGATGAGAAAAGATCGAGATAGTTGCTGGCCATGGAGATCAAGAGAGAGAGAGAAAGAGAGAAGGGGGCTCGTAGCTATGGGGGTGGCGGTGATGGCGAGGAGATGGTGGCATCGTGGATGAAAAGTGGCGGGAGGTTGTCACCTGTGGGATGCTTTCTTGCCTTATTTCTTCCTCTGTCTTCTCTTCTTTTTTTTTTCCATTTTTTTTCTAGTTCTAGTTCTTGCCTTCTTTTTTTTTTTTTTTTTGAAAACTTGCCCTAAAACAACGTCGTTTTGGGGCACTGCAGGAACCGCCATAGGAGAACGTGGCAGAGGATCTGGATTCCACTCACAGCACTCTCTCTTGTGTTTGTGTTAGTGAGAAAGGGAAGGAGAGAGGGTATGTGCTGTGACTGATTGTGTGTTAGTGGGTGTTTATTTTGTTTTGTTTAAAGAAATGAATTTGAGCCGTTTATTTCTTTGTAGGTGATGTGGGTCTATCTGAGCTGTTGTCCGAAGAAAGAGCTTGAGAGAGAGGTTGGAGAGGATCCAAACTCAAATTTGAGAGAATGAGAAAGAAGAGAAAAAAAGCGATTGATTAATATATTAATAATAGAAGGGGAAAAAAAGGAGAGAGGAGAGAGAAAATTGAGTTTTGAATTGTATTTTAAAAATTGAATAAATTACACTAACATCCCTTGAGATTTTTGTTTAACACAGATCCCCCATTCACATTGAAAATTACACTTATCTCCTGTTAGATTGAAATGACATATTTATCTCTAGCTTTTATACATATAAAATAATACAGATATTTTGTTGAAAAAATTAGTGAAACAACCCTCTCTAATTTTGTATAGTAGAAGAGGTCCAAGATATTTTTTTTATAAACTAAGGTCTCTCAACATTTTCATAGAGAAAATTCAACTTAGAAAAATTTCACTAGACTCAGAAATTTTGAAATTTCTCTCGTATGATCACAGAGAAATTTTTTTGTGAAGATTGAAATTTCTTTGAGTCGAATTTTCTCTGTAAGAATGTTGAGGGGCCTTATGAAAATATGGTAAGTCCTTTATCTTATAAAATCATAATATGAGTGACCTTAAAAAAATTTCTCTATTTTATTCATGTCATTTTAAGGGAAATAATAATCATTTTTTTTTTGGTTTATTACACAAAATAATTGAGTTTATTTAATGTTTGTGTTTTTTTATTTTTACTGAATATTTTTAATATTTTAAGCAATTTATTTTTTAGATACACCTAATCTAGATATACTTAAAAAGTATAATATTTTGTGTTTTTTTTTTAAATTCACCAAATACAATATATATATATATATATATAAATACAAAAAGTTCAATACATTATCTTATTTTGTTGTATTCAATAAAATTTTTTTTTATTTTTTTCTATAAATTTTATATTTGTTCAATACATTATCTTATTTTGTTGTATTCAATAAAAAAAAATTTTATTTTTTTCTATAAATTTTATATTTTTAAAATATATCTAGATTAAATTGATCTAATCTATATATAATGGTAGAAATAAAAACGAAAAATATTCATATATAAAAATTTATACAAAAAAAAATCATAAAATGTTGTAATAATGATATTGTTATAAATAATGTTTATGGGTATTTTTGTTTTAAAGTAAAATATCATCATTAAGTTATATCATTGTATTTGAAAATTCTATATAAAATTTATATTTGTATATCATCACTTAACAAGAATATATTCAGGTAGAATTCAATAATGGAAAGTTGTAAAATGTAATCATGTTGATAGGAAGAATAAATGGTAGGAAAAAAGGTAAGATAGTCATTTAGAAAATTTTAGGACATAACATCAGCAATTCATGAGGCAATTTGTAATGAGATTACAAATCTCAAGGAAGAGAATGTAATTTTTCAAATGTGAATGAAGGATCTGTATTAAATGAAAACCTCAAAAGGTGTCAATGTAATTTACTCTTAAAAATTTGTTAACCAAACAAATTTTTTTATTTTTTATCTAAATCATGTTTTAACTCTCAAAACATAATTTTTGAAATTTTTTTTCAAAATCACTCTCTCATGCACATCAATCAATCACTTTTTCTTTCACACGCATCTACTCAACTACAATAAAAAACCAAATCATCCCAAACTCCCATGCTCCAAAACTATTTCCCAAATATACAAGTAAACAAACCAAAAAAAATTATAAACTCTTTTCTCAAGATTTTTTTTGAAAATTTATTTCCCAAAATAAAACCAAACACACCCTTAATTTCTCTCAAATTTAAGTTCATCACGGAGTCTCATTTTTTACTTTTTAGCTATTTTAATCTAATTAAAAAGTTGTATTTAAAATATTTTTTTTATTTTATAATTGATGTAATAGTTGTAAAAGAAAAAAAATAAAATGATTATGATTTAAATGTGACATTTTGTTTTATTAACTAAATTAGTTTGTTTTGTCTTTATTGACTAAGAGCATCTCCAACAATTCATTATTTTTTTACCAAATCTGAGTAAAAAATTTTTGATTTTCTCAATCTGATATGGCTTACTCCAATGGTGCATCAAAAGGGAAGGGTCATTCGGTGGGTAGACCGACCGGTCGACCGGTAAGACTAATTTTTTTTTTTTTTAACCTGTTTGAATCTACCTATTTGAAAGGGAACCGGTCGGCCGATGGTCAACCGGCCGGACATCTGGCTGGTTGACCAATTGCCCCCGTCCAACAGTATAAAACAGTGAAAAGATGAAATCTGAAGCTTGTCCTCAGTTTGATGAAACTTTTGTTCTATTCTCATTTTGATATCAATTTGATGAAACCATTAGAGTAAGAAAAAGTGATTTTTTCATCAAATTTCAAATTTGATGCAAGGTTTGATGCACCGTTGGAGATGGTCTAATTTAGTCAAAATTGCTCATGTCAAACGAAGCTTAATTTGAATTGTTTATTTTGTAAGACTTTCTATATGTGTTATCTACACCCCCAAAAAATAAATAAATAAATGATGCTAGAGATCTATTTTTGAAACTTTTAAGTCAATAAATCCAAACTTAAATCTTTTTAGACCAAACAAATATTATGTCTAAAAGGATATTTAGGTTTCGTTTGGGAACATACTTTTTAATAATTTTTTCGCTTTTTGGCTAAAACGTGATGTAAAAAAAAATTAGTATGTTTGGGATGACTTTTTGACTTTTTACAAAAAAATGTGTAAAAAGTAGAGAAAAAAAAAATGTTTGACTTTTTGGTATGAGTTGTTGGTTTTTTAATTTTTTTAGTGACCTTTTGACTTTTTGGCTAAAAAAGTCACTTGCCAAATGAGGCCTTATTGTTCAAAACTCACCTATCTATTTAAATGTTATCTATTTGTCCAAAATGTGACTTATCTGTATACGTATGACCTATATATTCAAATGTCACCCATTTATATACGTATCACATATCTATTTACTTATTGTCTCAATGTCGCCTATCCATCCACTTCACCGCCATGACTACCCCCACCGCTGACTTTCTAGTGATTTTTCTAGCACCGACTTTCAACAAGTATCTTTATCATCAAAAAAAAATTAACCATTAAGCAAATAAATAAACATATGTCCCCATTAGAATGAACTTTTCACTAATTAACTTAAAAAAAATTAAATCGATTAATCATTTTCATTTATGTCAACTTGTTTGAAAAATGGTAATCAAAGTTGTCCCACATTACTGAGATATTGAACCTTTGTATTTCTCCCAAAAAAACGGAAAAAAGCAAACATTGTAATGTTTGTGTACTTTAACCTCCGATATGGTCTTGAATCTCAAATTGCACCTAAATTTTGTAAAGAAGAAAAGATATGGCCGAGTGTAGATTAACATATGTGCACACCACCCGTGGCCTCGCCCCAATCTAACAATACCGGACATTACAT